ATTATTTTTTCATGCTCCATTCAGATAGGCATAGAATTGCGGGTTGTGATATAGGAATTAGAGATGTTTCAGATCATGCGGGAGTTTATTTGAGACTCCATTTGGATGTTCACCCTAAGAACACCATCTGGAGATTGAACACTACCCTTTTAAATGATCCCCAATGTATAGAGTATATTAAAAAAGAAATCAAAGAGTACATTGAATTTAATAATAATGAGGAAATGTCATCAAGTGTTCTATGGGATGCTGCTAAGGCAGTGTTAAGAGGAAAGCTGTTAAAGTGGTCCTCAAGAAAAAAAAAAGAAAAACAGAAGATATTGACTGATTTATCAAACTCACTAAAAGCACTGGAACAAAAACATATTGAATTAAATAAACCTCAAATCTTAGACGAAATAAAAGTAAGAAAACAACAAATAAATAAAATACTTGATAAACAAGTAGAGATCAAACTTAAATATATTAAACAGAAGTATTATGAAAATGGACCCAGAGCTAAAAAAATGTTAGCATGGAAACTCCGTAAACAGCAAACGGAAAGGTCAGTTTTCAAAATTAGGAACCCAGAAACCAATGTAACGTGCTATAAAACAGAAGACATATTAAGATCATTTGAAGTCTATTATAAAAAATTATATTCTCAACCAAAAGCAGCTGACCCTTCCAGTATTGAACATTTTTTGGAATCTCTAGATTTACCATCAGTAGGACTTACACAAAATAAAATATTAACACAAGAAATCACAGAAGCTGAAATTGATAAGGCGATATCAAATTTAAAGACAAATAAAGTACCTGGGGGGGATGGGTATCCAGCAGAGTGGTACAAAAAATTTAAGGAATTATTAAAACCTATGCTGTTAAAATGTTTTAATCACGTTCTTAAGGGGGGGGAGACACCAATATCCTGGAAGCAGGCTATTATATCAGTAATACCAAAAGATGGAAAGGATAAGACAGAATGTGGATCATATAGACCTATTTCGGTTTTGAATATAGACTATAGATTATATGCTTCAATAATTGCAAAAAGACTAGAAAACATAATTCCTGAACTGATTGACACCGACCAAACAGGATTTGTGAAAAATAGGCAGACACAAGATAATGTGAGACGGGCATTATTTTTGATTGAGAACATAAGCAAAATTAACTCTAAATCTCTGGTAATTAGCCTCGATGCCGAAAAGGCTTTTGATTCCGTACGATGGGAATTTTTGTATCGGGTACTGCATCGTTTTGGCTTCAATGAAAAGGTTTTAGGATGTCTTAAACCACTATATCATTTACCGACGGCACAGGTTAAAATAAATGGTAGTATTTCGAATTCAATCACCCTGGAACGGGGATGTCGCCAGGGATGCCCTTTAAGCCCCACACTTTTTGCACTATTCATAGAGCCACTTGCTCAAGCAATTAGAGAAGATGTAGAAATACCAGGAGTTCAATTTAAAGGAAATGAACATAAAATATGTCTATATGCAGATGACATTCTTATGACAATCTCGGACCCCGACTCTAGTTTACCTAAATTAATGTCATGCCTTGAGCAGTTTGGTTGGTACTCAGGATATAGATTGAATTTAGACAAAACTCAAATCCTCTCTTTTCATTATTCACCACAGGAGAACATATGTAATAAATATAATTTTAAGTGGAAAACTAATATTAAATACTTAGGAGTTACCATACCAAAGAATATGACAAAACTGTACACTATTAATTATGAACCCATAACTAAAGAACTAAAAGCAGATTTGGACAGATGGATGCCCTTACCCCTGGGTTTATATAATCGAATTGAAAGTATAAGAATGAACGTTCTACCACGATTACTGTTTCTATTCCAATCGCTGCCTGTAGAGATTCCGAAAAAACAGTTTAATGACTGGAACCGAATGATCTCTAGATTCATATGGAAAAATCAGAAACCTAGGGTCAGACTTAAAACACTACAATTATCAAAGGAGAGAGGAGGATTGTCTCTTCCCTGTCTGGAAGATTACTACAAAGCGGCACAACTGAAATATCTAGTTTGTTGGTGTAATAATGAGTATGAAGCAAGGTGGAAAGAATTAGAACTTAGCCAGCTGGACTTTCCTCTCCCCTCCTTACTAGGCGATAAAACCACTAGGATTAAATACTCTAATAAACTAAGTCATTGGACGATGGTTCCTCTCAATGTTTGGTTCAAGGAATGTAAAAATTTCAAGCTTGAGAAACAAGCACGGTTGTTAAGATGGGTAGCCTATGACAACGATTTTAAACCCGCACAGTTAGATTCAAGGTTTAAACAATGGACGCTGAAAGGCATTACATCATACTGTACAATCTCAACCAAAACAGGTTTAACGAGCTTCCAACATCTTACTGACACCTATATTTTAGAAAACAAGATTTTTTTAGATACTTACAGCTTAGGAACCATTACAATAAAAATATTAAAAATAACGATAAATCTGAAAGGAATATGATCAATATTTTTATTGATGCGTATGAGAATAGGACTGATACCAACAAGAATACTAATATTAACAAGAAACTGATATCAAGATTATATTCAAGTATACAATCTTCTAAAAATCACTCTACATTATATGTGAAAGATAAATGGGAAAAGGAAACGAACATAATTTTATCTGAGGAAGAGTGGTTAAACATCTGCAAAACGCAGTATACTACCACCAGTTCAAACCAATGGAGAGAATTCTCATGGAAGAATATCATAAGATTCTTTATTACTCCCAAAAGAAAATATTTACAGAATGGTAATCCAGATTCTGCATTCTGTTGGAGACTATGTAATACTTCTATGGCAGATTACTTTCACATATTTTGGAAATGTCCAATGATTCAGTCCTTTTGGTTAGAGATAGTGACCGAAATAAAATTGATACTGGGATTTGATACGGAATACAATTTCAGTACTATATATTTAGGAAATATACCAACTAACCTTAATGCTCAAGACAAATACCTACTTAATGTATTATTAGTTGCGAGTAAAAAAACAATAACTAAGAAATGGCTCCAAGAGAGTCCACCAACAAAAGATGAGTGGATAGTGATTGTAAGTCATGTATACGATATGGAAAAACTGACCTTCTCTTTACGATTAAACATGGATAAATTTTACAAGTACTGGTCAAAGTGGCTAAGGTATATGAGTAGGGATTGAACAAAAGGAGATACTGTGAGTGTTATTTCCTCTCTTTTTTTTATTTATTTTTTTATTTTTTTATTTATTATCTCCTCATTTACATTTGATTGGTAATACTATATTGAGAACCCTTTTTTTTTTTCTCTCTTCAGATGTACAATACTTGCCCAATGAAAATATTCTGGCTTGTATGTTGTATAATGGGACCCTGAACCTTTTATTGACTTGAAAGGACAATTATAATTTTTCCCCTGATGGTACTATAAAGGAAGGAAAGGGGAGGGGGTATGGGGAAGAAAAGGGAACCCCTGATTTGATATTAACATAATGTTAATGAAAGTTTGTGTATAACATAATTGTATGTTACACCCCTAGTGACCGGTTTGTTCTGTTCTGTTTTTGTTTTGTTTTTTTCTGTGTGTGTGTTTCACAAAAATCGATATAAACCAATAAAAAATAAAAGTTTAAAAAAAAAAATATCTCATGTTGCTTGTATAAATGCCACTTATAGATGGTTTTATAGTAATGTGACACTATTTTTTTAATAAACACATTCATAAATGCCTAAAATGCCAAATATTCTACCATTCTTTGTCTTCTTGGTCCATAGATGCTGGTAAACCTTATTTCCAAACTAAAATGATTCCTTGTCAACTCAACCAGTGGTCCCTGGCTATTTTTTGTGATTTTGGTCATTCTTTTCTGGTGAAAGAACAGTCATGCAAATTTAACAATATGTATGGCACTTAGACAGGATTGAAACAAGATACATTTCTAGTTTCAACATCATTTGTTCTGTTTTTGATCACTGAAAATTTGTAATATTGACCAATTTCCTCATAGAGCGACAATGAAATCACATATCTCTGGAAATAAACTGTATTGTGCTGTAAAAATTAAAAGATACCAAAATAAAAGTTTGTTAACCAAAATATAAAAGAATATTAAGAGTTATTTATACTTCTGGATTTACAGACATGCAAACTTTAAGCAAAAAACACTTTTGTGTTGAAAGTGCTTTTTCACATTTTTGAACTGTCACCATTGACAGATGATGCAACAGATTTTACTAATAGACCTTCCAATCCCTGTGTAAAAATTAAATAATTATTCTGTCATCTAAAGTAATTTTTACCAGCCTGTAATTTGGCTCCAAATCTCAGGTGAAAATTGTCATTTTGAAAATTCAGAAAAAAAAAATTATGAACAAAATCAAAAATTTAAGCCGGGGAAGTTTCAGAAATTTGGTTGGGAAGGAATTTCCCAAACATATTTTATTTTATATTTATTGTCTTTATTTTTAATTAGCATTTTTCTCAGTGTGGGTCTTTTTTTGGCGGGCCATCCTACTATAGATAATAGATATGAGTTTTAGTTGATGAATCTGTGATACTAGCATGTGATGAGGCCAGTTCTGTGGAAGAATGACAGACAGAGGATGTGATTGCGCATTACTGACTCATTCAAGCCCCTTGCTGAGACACACACACTTACGTCGTGTCTAAAAACAGTCTTTTCTGCCTATTTCATACCATATGAGGCAGAGGCTGTCTTTGCATGCAGGGAATTATGGGAACTTCCTGGCCAAGCAGACTGGTTAACAGATTGGTCTGGATCATTTTGATACTGGCACAAGGTAGACGGCCGTCTCCTGTTGTGTGTGTGTTTTGTAGAGTGTCCCCACTTTAAATCCACAATGACTAGTCCTTTTATGTGCAACAGCAAGAAGCTAATCCCAGATGTCAAAACCTTCAGCTCAGCAAGGTCTCATTAGTTTCTCCTGAATGCGTTTACTCAGTCTTGTGCTGAAGCTATTTGTGGTCATTCTGTTACGCAGGAAAGCCATCTCGCGGTCGGGCCTCCAGCATTTGGGTCCAGCACAGAATCCCTTCACTGCCCTAAACAACGGACCAGCCAAGGAACTCCGCAACACTGTGGACTGGAGCGTAAGTGTCCTTCATCTGTCTTTCACTAGGAATGTCTATCCAACTGCTAACCGGTGCGAAAGTTCCTATTGTGATGAGTTTGGTACAAGCAAGTGGCACTAGTTTACAATGTTGCATACTTTTCCCCTCAAAATACAATCCGATATATATATATATATATATATATATATAATACAGTACATGCCATTCTAAGACTAAAGCCCTAATGTTTGTGTCGAGGAGAAGATTTTTTTCTTAGTTTAGACAATATCAGCATATTTGGACTGGTGGGTGCTGTTTGACATGGGTGGGTCCCACAAAGACGGTTGGCATGGCAAAAGAGAGACTCGTTAATCCAGGTGCTGTGTGTACAGATGGAGACTGCTGAGGGGGCGGAGCCCAGCGGGACGCTTCCTGTGCGTCTTTGCTGGCTTTTCCTTCCCCTCTAGTTCCCGACGTGACCAGCGCAGCAGCCATCAAACATTAATGCGCCTTCCTAAAACTGCTAAGTCTGTACACAAGGCATCACTAATTGAAGCCTCACAATGTGTGTGATTTGAATACAGGAACGTGCATTGAATGTTTTTGTATTTAAATGCTCATATTGTTTACATACGTCATGTCAAGTTAAGTTATAGCCTAGTGCTTTATAGATATGTACTTACTGTAAGGTATAGGATCAGGTTTGGTTTAGGGTTAGTTGCACGTAATTAGCCTATTTATAATTACAGTTATTAAACAAATACAGTTTCAGCTGTAAAGACAATAGTGTCATTATTAAGCTCAATTTCGTTATGTTGCGAACTGTAAAGCAGCTCCACAGAAGATAATAGTGTCATAAATAGTGCAGAGTTCATCATAAAACATGCTAAATTCAGATATATTATAATATGTTGGAAGTTGTTATAATAGCTAAAAATAAACCATGATTTGCTACATGCTAATCAGTTCAGGTGAGGAGATTTTAATTCTAGAGAGCATTTGATCAATGTTTTTGGTTTGTTTTCCTGGAAGAGTAACAAATGCGTATGCTAATTAGCATTAGCATGCGGCTTCAAAGCTTATAGACACGGACTGACAGCTGCAAAACTTGATTTTATCTGCACAGGAGAACGCAGTGAACGGTGATCATCTGTGGCTGGAGACGAACTGCTCCGGGGATCTCTGCTACCTGGGCGAAGAGACGTGCTTGGTCAAGATTGCAGTGAGTATTAAATGGTTTAACAGGTTACAAAACATGATGAAATGAACTAAAGAGAAGTCAGACAGTTGCTGTATTTGGAGGGCTAGCTGAAAGCAGGGAAGAGAGTGTCATTAGAGCATTTTAGCAGTGACATTTTCTTTCATGAGATAATGTGGGGCTGGTGTGTATTGAAAGAAAGAGGCAGCTATTAGTCTGAGAATGTTCAGCAGGTAAAAGGATTTTGTTAGGCTTTTGTTAAAGCACGACGCTGCGCTCTGATGTTTTCAAGAGCCGTAGCAACTCCATTATTGCCACTTCAAGTGGTTGGCAAAATCCTTCGTTGCCTCAGAGGAAACAAGCTTTTCACAGCTGAAGATAGATGAGAGTGCAGTGAGAACATATTCCTTATACAATTGAATCATAAGATGCATCAGGCTATTGCTCTATGACAAGCTGTTGTGTGTTTTGTGCTGTTCGGTTCTCTTTAAGAAGTCGGCTCCCCGGAGGAAGTGTGCAGCCTGTAAGATCGTGGTCCACACGGCGTGTATTGAGGAGCTGGACAAGGTGAGCAGAGGCAGAAATATCCGTTTCATTCTCACACACGTCATAAACACGCCCTCCACAGATGAACGCTGACGTTTGTCTCTTCAAACAGACATCAGGAGGATAATGAAATGGGATGAGATGGTATAATCTAGATATTGCGGTTATGGTTTTTAGGATCAGGAGATGTGGCTCCCTGCTGTTGCCATGTTCAAATATAGACCATTTTGCAAGATGTAAACAACACTGGTCCAGAAGCACTTCCTGTTTCAGTTTTTTAGCACTACATAAAAGCTGGGATAAAATACAACCAACAGAACATATAAAACTGAACCAGAAAGTTAAACAATCATCTTTAAGATGTTTTCTTTACATGTGAAATAAAAAAAACAGTTACAAACTGAAACAGGAAGTGTTTCTGGACTAGTGTTGTTTACATCTTGCAAAATGGTCTATAGTTATCCATGCAATTGAGTGAATAGATGTGAAAGAATATCAAGGTCACATTATACATCACAATCTATTTATGAAAAATGTTTATATTTTACTATGTGGTTATGTCTATTTTTGGTTCATTTATTAAATTAAATATTTTAGAAGTTCTTTCCCAGATAGCAAACTGACATTGAATCAACGTGGAAACGACGTCTCTCATGACATTGAAACAACGTTGATTTGCTCATCGAATTAACGTTGAACCAACGTCAGACGCGGCATTCTTCAAAGCTTAATGAAATCGAAAATTGGTTTGCTTTCATAACGTTGAAACAACGCGTTGATTTCAAGTTGATTTTCCGTTAGTTTTGAAAGAATGACGCGTCTGACGTTGGTTCAACGTTAATTCGATGAGCAAAACTATGTCAGATCAACGTTGTTTCGATGTCATATTTCCAGGTTGATTCAATGTCAGTTTGCTATCTGGGTTAGGACTAATAGTTCAGACTTTGGTATTTATTTTAAAAAAAGAATATATATATTGTGTGTGTGGGGGGATACAGTATAGAGTATGTAATTTCAGACGCTGCCTATCTCCATAGCTACACATTGTGTAATTTAACTAAATGATCCTATAAATCTGTCTTTCATTGTCTCTCCCTCACAGATCAACTTCCGTTGCAAACCCACCTTCAGAGAGGGCGGCTCTCGATGCCTTAGAGATGTGAGTCCACTTCTAGAACACATGACTTCGTTCATCACTGAAGTTGCTTTGGCGTATACTTATTGTACTTATTGTATACTTATGGCAGAATGAACCCTTGTTGGCACGTTTACATGTGACCCGTTGTGTCTGTTTGCGACAGCAGAACGCTTTGAGACATCACTGGGTGCACCGCCGACGGCAAGAGGGGAAGTGTCGTCAGTGCGGAAAAGTATGTCACAGCGTCAGGTTATAGTGAAGGAGGGCGGCAGATTTTTTCTTTGCAAAAGTCAAGTATGTTTATGCTATCCTTCACTTTGATTGTAGAGTTTCCCGCAGAAGTTCTTCCACAGTAAGGAGATCGTGGCCATCAGCTGCTCCTGGTGCAAGCTGGCAGTGAGTGTCGTGTCTGTGTTTTACTCATAAAACCTCACTCGTTTATGCGATCCAGACTTGTTCCATCTCTTTCCCTGTTTGTCTATCACAGTTCCACAATAAGGTCACATGCTTCATGCTCCATCAGATCGAGGAGCCCTGCTCACTGGGAGCTCACGCCGGGGTCATCGTACCGCCTTCCTGGATCATCAAAGTCAGGAAACCGCAGGTTCGTTTTTATCAGCACTTCATAGAGTGAGGTTTATGTAGGAGACGCTAATGCAAAGTGACACTAGACTGTTTAGAAGCTGGGCTGTATGCACTTGTCTACTTCTGCTGATCATCTTCAGCTTAAATATGCTTTGATACTGCGAGATTTTATATCAGAAACTTCTATACTGATTTTATATGGAGCTTCTTTCATTGTTTCCTACACCTTCAACCTCACAGTTTATCTGTTGCATTAAAAGCTAGAATTGAATTGATCAAAAACTGAACCATCATGTCAACAGTCATAGCAGAAACTTAGACCACACCCACTCTGATGACACAGTCAGCTATGATTGGTGGATTTACTGTATGTATTGATGGGAAATGTTTTTGAAGTGTGGCATCATGTTACTGCCACTTTCAATTCAGGAGTTGCTAAAAGGGAAGTTGCTTGCTTGTACACAAACTTGTTGAAATAGTTCAACCAAGGACAGTCATCCTCTAACACTTTACACTTCAAATTGAATTAATTTATTACTTAAAAATGAACAATATTTAATTAGTAAACTATATTACTTAAGAATTAACGGCATTTACTCAATTTCAATTTGTGGGAATTGGAATTCAATGGGAATTAAAATTACACTTAAATTTTCTATTAAAATACATTTTTAAAATCTAAAGTCGTACTTGTTAACATTTGTCAATCTACTGGGAACTAACATGAACAACTAATGTTAACGAAGATTAATAAATGCTTAAAAATATATTTGTCTCATTGTTAGTTCATGTTAGCTAATGCTAACTGATGTTAGCATATGAGACCTTATTGTAACGTTACCCCTCTCATCCTCGTGTTGTTCTGAAACCATATGACTTTTTATTCTGTTAAATAAAATAAATAATGTTTTGCAGAATGTTCACATGTCATTATATATGTCAATATATGACTTTAAATATAGTGAACAAGACCTCTGGTGCTTTTTTGCCCTTTTTGGAGTTGGACAGCTGTCACTCTTTGCATTTGTTGGTAGAAAAAAGCAGTGTGAACTTTCTTCTCATCTCAACATGGTTGGAGCGTCACGAGGGTGAATAAGTGATGAATAAGTTTAACATTTTGGGCCTTTAATTTGAAATGAACACTTCTGTCAGTAATGGTAGAACAACTCTGTCCTACTGGAGTTGGTTTTGGTATGTTTTGGCTTAGTCGGCGTCTCTCTCCTGTGTCCCAGAGCTCATTTAAAAACTCCACTCGAAGGAAAAAACGGACGTCGTTCAAAAGAAGAGCCAGCAAAAAGGGCACGGATGTGAGTAGATCTGATTCCTGCCCTGCTTTTAAATGTTTTCTTCCCTTAACTCCTGCTCAGTGACCATCTGTCCCCACTGCTTACTGCAGCGATATGTGTGTGTATTTGTGTGCTAATGTGTGCATTTATTTGAAGTATAATGGAGTGACTTTGAAATGACAGGAATCAAAATGGCGTCCGTTCATGCTGAAGCCGCTGCCCTCACCGCTGATGAAACCAGTGCTGGTGTTTGTCAACCCCAAGAGCGGCGGAAACCAGGTGAGACACACGAAAGAAAGAGACGAATAGAGTACCTGTCTGTCTGCCGTTCAATATATCACTCTATCGTTCTATCAGTAGTTCTGTCAGTTGTCCTATCTATCATTCTGTCTACCAGTCTTATTTGTCATTATATCTGTCTATCATTCTATGTATCTTCTGTCACTTCATTCTGTTTTTCGGTTGTCTCATTTATCATTCTGTCTGTTGTTCTATCTGTCTTTCTGCTATTCTATTTATCATTCTGTCTCTGTCGTTCTTTCTATCTTTCTGTCTGTCGTTCTTTCATACTCTTTCTGTTCTATTATTCTGTCTTTCTATATATCACTCTGTCGTTCTATCTATCTGCCATTCTATTAAGTTATGTCGTTCTGTCTGTTGTCATATCATATCTATCATTCTATCTGTCGTTCTGTCTATCTTTCGATCGTTCTATCTATCGTTCTGTCTTTCTGTTGTCCTATCTATCATTCTGTCTGTCTTTCTATCTGTCTTTCGGTCATTATATCTATCATTCTATCTGTCGGTCTATGTATCTTCTGTCATTATATCGTTCTGTTTTTCGGTTGTCCTATTTATCATTCTGTCTCTGTCGGTCTTTCTGTCTGTCGTTCTATCATTCTCTTTCTGTTCTACTATTCTGTCTGTCGTTCTTTCTATTGTTTTTTTCCATATATCACTCTGTTGTTCTATCTATCTGCCATTCTATTAAGTTATGTCGTTCTATCTGTCGTTCTATCTATCTTTCTGTCTGCCTGTTCAATCTCTCTATCATTATATCATTATAATTTTTGTCATTGCATCTATCGTTCTTTCATTTTATCTATCGTTCTCTGTTCTGTTTCTCATTCTGTTTTTCTCTTTTTTTCGTTCTATCTGTCTGTCATTCTATCAATCTATCACTCTGTCTATCATTCTACCTGTCTGTCATGCTATACTGTAGATGTCAATCCATCTGTTGTTCTTCCTGTCGTGTTGTCTGTCTCTCTGCCCGTCTGATCTGTCTGTGGTTCTCAGGGGACTAAGCTGCTGCAGATGTTCATGTGGATCCTGAACCCTCGGCAGGTGTTTGATTTGTCTCAGGGAGGGCCCAGAGAAGCGTGAGTCTCTCAGTTTCAGCGATCTCTTTCATTCCGTTTCAGATCATCTCTCCCTCCCTTAATGCACTTTAACCCACTATTTCTTTGTCCTGACCACATTAATTATGTAGTCGCTGGATCTCAGCAGTGCTGTGTTCTATGAGGGAGTTCAGTGTTCTAGAAGCTTCTCTCCCCGCTGCCCACTGCCTCAGTTCGCCTCAGTAATTGAGCGGTGAGACAGCACTGCACATGCGCTCTGATCTGATCTGCTCAAGCGATGAGAGAGAGAGAGAGAGTATTAAGATGGGAGCAGACACAGCTGGGCGGCTGGGGGCTTTTCTTTTTTTGAGCTGTCTGACAGAGCTGTGATTAAACCCCTATTAAAACAGAAAACCAACACACACACACACATGCAATGGCCCACAAAACATTTAATCCACACTTAAAAGTGTCTGAATGTAAAAATGTATCAAACCATGTGCTATTTATTTAAAAGAAAAACTATTTTTCACGTCAAACGTTTCACTTTTTTTTTATTAGGTTTTACATGATGATAGATAACATTCAAAATGAAGACAGAATATATTTAGTGCATAGCTAATGTGTTGTTACTCTAAAAAGAGACCTATGTGAATTCATCTGCTATAAATCACCTTCTAGTTAAATGTCACTGTGTTAACATTATTTATTGCATTAGGTACTGTCAATGAACATTGCTTATTGCATTTATTAATCTTGGTTAATGTTAATTTATAAGTATAGTATTGGTCATTGTTTAAATGTTCAAAATTGATTAGGGTAACATTAATAAATACTGTAAAACTATTGTTCATAGTTAGTTCATGATTCCCAATAAATGATAACAAATTAAACTTCATGGTAAAGTGTTACCAATGTCATTAAAAAAATGTCTCTGAAAAGTTAAATTCTTAATTTTTATCTAATGCAGTGACATTCACCCATTTTTAAATCCAAAAACTGTTTGGGGTCACTTTTTAATGCTAATTTATTGCAAATGCAAAACAGTAACAAATATCACTATTTGTTTCCCTCTGTCCATCAGCCTGGAACTATACAGGAAAGTGCCAAATCTTCGCATCCTTGCCTGTGGAGGAGATGGAACGGTAAGGATGCAATGCATGTTGGGATGAACAGACATGTCCAACCCGCTAGAAGTTAAGCATTTTGGATGCACCTACCTCTGGTGACATATGATATGTGGAATGACAATGAACTACAAAGTAACAAGCAGTGGCGAAACACTGTTATTAGCTAATCGTGAGTCTGTGGTTTGTATTGTCATGCTTTCTTACGGGTAATTTCTAGATCCATGACCCGTGCAAGATGAGACTTGGATTTCCTGAGCGCCTTTGGCATTTCTGTCCCGGAATGAGTAGTTTGTCCTCTTTTGTCTAGGTGGGCTGGATTCTCTCGGCCTTAGATGAACTTCAGATGAACCCACAACCTCCTGTAGCTGTGCTTCCTCTTGGCACAGGAAATGACCTTGCCAGGACTCTGAATTGGGGAGGGGTGAGTCAACTCATCTTTAAATCTTCTTAAAGTGATTATTAAATAGTTGCATTCCCCATACGTCCCATCTGCCTGTGTGTATGCTTTCTCCTTTCTTAGTTAGGGGCACGTGTTTCTATTGCTAGTGGAAATCACCATATCCGCATACATCACACATTTTACCCTGACCTTAGTCATGAAATGCTGAATAACAGCACCTTTGAATTAGAATTTGGTTTGTTTTACACAACACGAGCGTGTGAAAGCAAACAGCATTAGTTGGATATGATCGGGCTTGCTGTGATTGGCTGAGAGGCTGTAATTGTGCAGTTGGCCAACTAAGTGGTTGTCACTGATAAATGCCACTCATTATTTTCCATTATACTCTGACCTCGTGCCTGGAGAAACACTGGCCTTGGGATCTGGAGTGTCTCTTCCCCGTGCTTTAATCGAAAGTCTGTTATTAGCAATGAAGCGGGTATAATGATCCTCGCTGTCCACTCGGAACATTCGAATTGATGGTATAATCATTGCAATTTATGTCAAGTACTGTGTTTATGCCAGGAGTAAATAGCCCTTTACATGCAGTGGCTGTGTTGTGTAAGGTAAGCCCTCTCGACTCAACATGATCTCTTCATGTTTCAGGGTTACACCGACGAGCCGGTGTCTAAGGTGTTGTGTCACGTGGAGGACGGTACGGTGGTGCAGTTGGACCGCTGGAATCTGCAGGTGGAGCGTTCGGCTTCTCAGCCGGAGGAGGGCACGCAGAAGGTGATCGCTGGAGATATATACCAGGATGTATGTTACATTTGTACTCTGCTGATATTACTATGTGTCTCTTTGTTGTCTTTTATCAGCTTCCTCTAAACGTGTTCAATAACTACTTCAGCCTCGGCTTTGATGCCCACGTCACCCTGGAGTTCCACGAGTCTAGAGGTTTGTGACGCTTATGTGTGCCTTTTACATATTCACGTATTGCTGAACCTTTCAAACTTATAAATATCAATGACCTTTTATATGTAAATTGTATGTTTGTCAGAGTCAAGCTGCTGAATACTGAATAGGCTTTGACGTGTATAGTAAATGTGGATGGGCATATGGGGAGTTGTTCACTTTTAAAAAAGCTTTTGCTGATAATTTACTCACCACCATGTCATCCAAGATGTCCATGTCATTCTTTCTTCAGTTGAAAAGAAATTAAGGTTTTTGATGAAACCATTCCAGGATTTTTCTCCATACAATGGACTTCAATGGGAACCAAACGGTTCAAGGTCCAAAAGACAGTTTCAGTGCAAACTGCAAACTGTTCAAAGGGCTTTAAACGATTTCAGACGATGAATAAGGGTCTTATCAAGTGAAACGATTGCTCATTTAAAAAAAAAAAAAATTTTTGATGAACGAGTTTGAATAGGAGAGTCACGATAGCGCATCACACCCTAACCCTAACAACCCTAACCCTAACAGAGCAAGGGGACCATTTGAGCTTATAAAACTTAAACTTTGTAATTTTTTTTTTTAAATGAGTGATCGCTTAAAATCATCATCTGGAATCGTTTAAAGCCCTTTGAACAGTTTGCAGTTTGACTGAAACTGTCTTTTGGACCTTGAACCGTTTGGTCCACATTAAAGTCCATTATATGGAGAAAAATGCTGGAATGTTTTCATCAAAAACTTTAATTTCTTTTCGACTGAAGAAAAAAAGACATGGACATCTTAGACGACAGGGGGGTGAGTAAATTATCAGCAAAAGTTTTTTCAAAAGTGAACTACTCCTTTAATATAATGAACTCATAGAGCCGTGATGATTCTGAATTATTTCAAAAAATCCTATTTTCTATGATATGACCCTTTTAAAATGAAGTCCTGACTCACTTTATTGGCTGCGCACTTGTGTGGCATTTAATAAAATGTCCTTGTTGGCCAAAGATCTTTATATTATGAAGAGAATGAGAAAGAAGAGATACCTAAAGTCATAATCATTTGTGTCGTCGTGTTCCTTCACAGAAGCCAACCCCGAGAAATTCAACAGTCGCTTCCGAAACAAGATGTTCTATGCAGGGGTAGGCAGAGTTCCCTTTCTGACAGAATAAGTGGTGTGTGTGTGTGTGTGTGTGTAAGAGACTGACTCTTAATTTTGTCCCCTCAGGCGGCTTTCTCCGACTTTCTCCAGCGGAGCTCCAGGGATCTGTCTAAGCATGTCAGAGTGGTGGTGAGTATGAAACTGTTCCTGTCTGCTCATGCTAACTTGCTCATTGTCCACCTGATATTTAACGTGTTGTTCTGCATACTGACAGTGTGACGGTACGGATCTCACACCCAAGATCCAGGAGCTGAAGTTTCAGTGCATCGTCTTCTTGAATATTCCCAGGTGGGGTGCACCTCAGGAAAAGCCAATTGTGTCATCCTCTTTTTTTCAAAATCAGGAATTCTGGTAGTAACAGTCTGGTAGTTTGTAATAAATCCGAAATTAAATATAAAACAACTTTCAAAACATGTTTTTCTGCCAAGCCTGGTACATTAGAAATGTGTCTGGGTTGAAGGTCAGTACAAAACATCTAATAATGGCCTCAGCTAACACATTGTTTTTGTACTTGTGCCAAGAAAAAAACTATTCCAAACAATATATGTCACTGCGATGTTTTTCACACAGCAGTGTTTAAATGTTGAGCTTGAAAAGGTCAGTTATAATAAGTGTGGCTGTAATGAAGAACTGTTAATGTTCTGACTGTCTGCGTGGGGAAAATGTTGCAGAATAATAGTGTGTGAAGTTCAGCGAACTGTATGAACGGCGTTCTTGGTTCGAGTTATCGAGCCTGATTCAATGACTCACACATTTTTAAGTCACTTGTCGCCACCTACTGGTGTAATGATGTAACTGATCAGCGCCAATGCAGATTTGAGTGTTCTGCTGTGTCTTAATAGACATGGCCGAATCGTTGTCATTTAGTTATAAGATCACGTGGATGAATCGAGTTTGTGATCTTTTAATGATTAATTGTGCAGCTTAATCGTAAACATGTCAACAGGACTGTCTTATTTTATATACCTCATTATACTCTCTCTCTGTAGGTACTGTGCTGGGACCATGCCATGGGGAAACACGGGCGACCACAGAGATTTTGAGGCTCAGAGGCATGACGACGGCTGCATCGAGGTGATCGGTTTCACCATGGCCTCTCTGGTGAGCAACTGCCGATTGGCTCTTTTATTTAGAGCCACAGTTTTTCACTGGCCCATAGTAACATATGAAGAGTTCAGATGCAAAAGCCTCTAAGTGCCATTTGAAATTTTCTTCTAAAATGATCATTTTTATCAAACTTGTATATTTAAGTTCAGTAATTTCACTTAAATGGCAATGAAGATTACCTATTAATTGTCATTTAAGTGAAATAACTGAACTGAAATATACAGGCTTGATAAAAATGGTCATTTTAGAAGAAAATTTTAAATGGCATTTAGAGGCTTTTGCATCTGAACTCTTCATATAGTCTCTAATGCAGTTTTAAGGCTTAAGGCTTGCATGCATTTCCCTGTCTTCACACAAGGCGGCGCTGCAGGTGGGCGGCCACGGCGAACGGCTGCACCAGTGCAGAGAGGTCATCCTCACCACCTTCAAGACGCTGCCCGTGCAGGTGGACGGAGAACCGTGTCGCCTCACGCCCTCGACCCTGCACATATCGCTGAGGAACCAGGCCAACATGGTGCAGAAGAGCAAGAGACGCACATCTGTGCCGCTGCTCAACGAGTGAGTCACTGAATAATCGGCACTCAAATGTCATGCGTCAGTGCAAAATACATATGCATCTTTGACAAATGCGGACGTGCATTTTTAAAAGACGTTTTGATCTCAGATTCATGCATGCTATGAAACTTTCTTGGTGCTTTACAACGTGATATTGGACCTGAACTAACCTAGTTCTGTTATTACAAGGGCAAATATTTAGAGACTGACTTCGACACACAGTCAGCCTTTTGTTTTCTTAATACAAAACAACAGTGACAAGTGTAAGATTAGGTCCAATAGAAATGCAACATGTAATTGTGGATCGATCAACGCGACATGGCGTTAAAAACGTACTTATCTCAAGCTCAATTTGCAAAATCGCCATGCAAAGTTGGGCTGTGTTCCCCTAGCCGTGACCACATCCATATTCTCCTCTTTCGATTCTTCCTCTTTTTTCAGCGCACGTTAAAAACGCCAAAAAGTGTGATTCATCTTACTGTGTTTGTTTACCACTAGCGCATGCTGATGTCGTTTTATTCTTCTATACTAACTTGCGTCGTAGCCTACGATTGAAAAGGTGTCATAATCGTAGTCTACGTACTTGTGGTACTCAAGTTTAACAGATCCATGTGTGCTTGACTGATGAATGTTCTAGTAACGGCACTAATGCGCTGCTCTTCTAGAACTTCTCTCATGGTGTGTGTGCTGTGCCTCAGTGTGTTTTTTCTTTCTTTTTCTTTCCTTGTCTCCATCTTTCTCTCTCCTCCTTAATTACTGGTCGCCCTTCATGCGTTTGTCCCTCTTCGCCTCCATCTCTCTCTCTCTCTCTCTCTCTCTCTGTCTCTTGTGCTGACTGGCTTGGCTGTGCTGCCTGTGTTCCTGTGTGGCTGCGCTGACTCAGCATTCAGAAAGTGTGCGCAGCCGACCTGCGCCGCCTCTCTGCTCCCCCCGACTCCTTCTCTGTGTAAGTATGGTACACACAGCCGTGTCGCACACCTCGGCCTGCTGACAGAGCGTGTGTGTGTGTGTGTTTTGTTTTTTTCCAGTCAGCCGACAGAGTCTTGAGGTGTTGTTCTGTTGCTGTGCATCTTAAAGTCAACATGAAACAATCAAATCGACCCTGTTTACTGTCTTAATACATGTTTCTGGTCTAATTGCACATAAGCGGAGTCCAAAAAAAGTGTTTGTTTTATTAACCTCTCATCAAAATTTCATAAATTGCTTTGCTGTTTTAGTTGGAATTCTTCTAGGCTGCTCGATATTGACCGTGCAGTTGTAAAAATGATGCATTTTAAGCATTCTAGCTAAGCTAAGCTAAGTTAAGCTATTGCAGGTTGTTTGTAAAAATCATTTACTGCCTGCAGGAAGGAAAAAAAAAGTTTTTTGACAAACTTGTGACTAATTATGCATAATTATTCCCATATATTTAAGTTAAAAACTGTCGAAACAATTAATTCTGCCATCAAAATAGATTTTAATGTTGCCATACAGCACCAGAAAATGTCCTAATAAATTAAAAATAATTAAAATGAATAGTCATACTAGAATTTAAATGTTAATTTTGTAAAGATAACATACTAAAAATAAATAAAAATATTCATATGAGAATTTAAATCTATTAACTTTGTAATAACATAATAAAAATAAATATTTTTAATTAAATTTTAATTAAATAATAAAATAATGTATAATAAAGAAATATTCATACTAGAATTACATGTTACTTTTGTAACATAACACACACACACACATATATATATATATATATATATAATTTACCAAATTGTGGGAAAAAAAATTCACTTTTTTTCTGTTATACCACTATGGACAAATAATTATTAAAAATTATTATTATTCAAATAGCTAAATGCTTTATAAAATATTGCAGATAGTATTTACAAAATGTAATGATGGTTAAGGTTATAGAAGGTTGCATAAATAATAGTAAATAATGATTCATTTGTATATGCCAAGGGTAAATCATGTTGACTTGTGTGAGGTCTAACAGTCCTTTCTGATCTTCACCTGTCCTTTTGTGAAACTCATTTTCACTTTTCCTTTAAGCTCCTCATCATCTGGGTTTAATACTTTATGTTCATTGTTTTCCATTACGATTATAAAGTCCTTTCATGTAGTCGAGCATTATCAGCAAGCAGAAGATAAAACCAAGAAAATGTCTGTTCCACCTCCACCTCTGTTGGTGATCTCATATCTCACTTGAATGCTTCTATGTGGAATCGCTTCTTATTTCTCATCGTCTGCACATCGCAGCCCTCATGCAGTCCCTGACCGTCTGCGACTGCGCGTGAACCGCATCATCCTGCAGGATTACGAGAGTATGCAGTTCGACAAGGAGCGTCTGCGTGACATCTGTAAGTTAACCGCAACCTTTCCCACAATTCAGCTCACATATCTTAATATAGTGCTGTTGTAGGAAGGGTGGATATGTGACTGGATGCCAACTCAGTGTGTGTGTGTGTTTGCTTGTTCAGCTACTCCTGTTGGCATCGTGGTGGTGAGAGGAGACTGTGACCTGGAAACCTGTCGACTGTACATTGACAGGCTTCAGGAGGTGAGCACATCCCATGCTGCTCCTTTCAGTACAAATTCACTGAGGAATGAATCAATACAATTACTGCCTGAAAACCGACATAAACAAGACAGATTCAGTTTTGCTGGGAAGTAAAAACTGTAGTTTCTGGTCCTGTGGTTTTTAGTCATTTCATTTGCATCATTTAACCTCAAACCATGCCACCAACATTTTCGCTATTACACATTTTTTTGTCTGTTGTTGACAGGATTTGCATCAAGCGCCCTCTTCTGGTCACCGAGTGCACTACCAGGTAAACGCCTCCACAGAGTTGGACAAAATTCAGACAAATTCTGTTTTCACGCGTTACACCACGTGGGATTCTTATCTGTATTTATTGTCAGTATTTACTGTTATTTTTTTCCTGCATGTTACTGTTGTTTCCTGTGTTTTATTTTAATCATAATGTTATTGAAATGTATAGGTGTCATTATGAGCAGCATCTTGTCAAACTTTCAGAACACCTGTGATGTGTTTCTGTCTGTTCTCAGGACGAGAGCACAGGTTTGGCTTGGCCGAGTTCAGCACACAGACTTTCATCAAACTGGAGCTTCCTAGACTGTGAGTCTCCGCATCCGAACTGTGTTTCTATATAAGAAGAGACATACCTTTGCAAGTAAAGTCAGTTTTTAGTCATGTTCGGTTCTCTTGGCTATTTTAGGCTGCTTTCACACTTGTTTTGATTGCCTGATCCGAACCAAATAAACCATATACTCCAAAAAAACATGCATTTACATACAACAAACGCATTTAGGCCGGAAAACATTGTTGATGTTCAATAAGATCTGTTGTCTTTTCTTTTTCTTTTGGTTTGGTGTTAAAAAGGACTAGAATAATCGCACCAGAGTTCATTTGAATGAAACTGAACCTGCAAAGTGTGAACACACCCTAACTGTTTAATGCTGGTTGAATAAAAGCACGTCTGGCACAGATTTTATCACCTCCTGCCTGGAGTGTACTGAGTTTTATAACCTCCACAGTAACACAGGAATGTGTTGTGATTTGTGTACTTCACTTAAGTATGTAATAATCATCACTTCACTGTACATTATGTTTCCAGCTACATCAGCCGACCGCTTTTATCGCATAGACAAGGCTCAGGTATGATGATACTGCGTTATAAAATGTATAGGAAATCAAAAAGAAATTGGAAGCTGCATAATGTGCTTTTGTAATGTGTGAACCTACAGGAGCATCTTCACTTTGTGACTGAAATATGCCAGGATGAGGTTTTCATCCTGGACCACGAGGCCCCAGCGGTGAGCCAGGTCCGAGCTCCTGGAATGCCGGATGTGGTGGTGGAACCCAGTTCCAGGTGAGAATCATCATTACCTTATTTTTACGTTCGGTTTTACGTTCGTTTTGCATGAACAAAGCTTACATTTGTATTGTTTGCTCTCGTTTCCTTATTGCAGTGTTCCCCTGACCTCAGATGAACAAGGTACAGTACAAACACAAGTATTTCTTTGAAGTTGTAGAGAGACAGGAAGCATTTAGAAGCTCAGGGAGTTTTTCCTGTCAGAAGTCATGGGATAAACCCATTGGTGACATTCAGTTATCGCCACCTGAAATGTCTCAAATTCATGTCATAATTGCTAGGTACTTGATATAGCTTAAGCGTGATTGTTACTCATACAATATCATGTGTTGACAATCTCAATTGTTTTTTTAGCTCTTTTGTCAGCTGCTGTTAAAGGAGACCTGTCTGCGGTGAGTTTGTATTTTATTTGAATGATTCTTTTTCTTGAAACTGAAAGTGAAAGAGTTTTATAGACGTGTGTTATCCAACATCACTCATCAGGGTGGTGCACAACATGCAGTGTAACTTGCGTAACTAGTAAAGCTTCTGTGGCAAACCAAAGTTTTTTTTTGTGTGATTCAAACTCATATGCTCCTGACTCATGATCTGTCCCACGTTTAACAGATGCCGGGCTCCTGCGGCAGCGGGGTCAGTCTGTTGGTTCGGGACTCTATGGGCTGCACCGCTCTACACTTGGCCGCCAATCACGGTCACACGGAGGTTGTGAGTTTCATTCTAGAACACGGTGAGTGTTGGAACGAGCCTCTGGACACGCACCCTACTGTGTTTGCGGACTCAAAGTTCAAAGTTTGTGTGTTACATTCTCAACTGGGAGGGAAGGGAGTTTTGTTTCCCGTTTTAGATACCATCACATGTCTAAGAGAACCAAAACCAAAGCCAACTTAGAAGTAAATATCCATTTCTAAATAAATAATGGGCACAAAATGTATCTGGACACTTTTTTTTTTTTTAAGAAAGAAAGTACAGACACACTTTTAAATCAAAAACCTTTCAAATTTGTGACATTTTTAAATATGGCCTAAATGTCAGGAAGTTTGTGGAAAATAAAATAATATTTTAAACATGTATTAAATGTCTAAATAGTTTTTGGGGCATCAAAAAAATGTTTAATAAGAAGTAGATACGACCTCGATGACATTGTTACATTAGATTTCTACTGTAGATTATTGGAGCACCCTTTTGGGGAGGGAGGGAGGGGGATTTTTTTTTTTTTTTTTTTTTTTACTTTTATTTTTTTTTTATTTTTAGTCTACTTGTTTTTCTGTTTTTGTTTTTGTAAACTGAAAATAAAGTATTAAAAAAAAAAGAAGAAGTAAATACTAATTTATTTTGGATCATATCCATATATATATTAGGGATGCACCTAAATGAAAATTCTGGGCCTAAAACTGAAACCTAAAATGACACTTCACCAATAATTTTACTATTAGATTTGTAATTAAATTCTTTATTTTTTTTACACTTTTATTTAACAGAAAATTTGGGCATAAAATAGGGCTATATTAGAATAATATTATATCAATAGATTAATATCAGTATATTATTAGCGAAACACTGAGCAGTCACTTTTAAGCTGTACAAACTTTTATCAAATCTATCCTCACTTACATGCAGTTCTGTTTCTTTCAGGGTCAAAGCTGATGTTGGATTTAACTGAGAAAGACACGTACGTAGTTGTGGTTTGATCTATTTATTTGCATCATAGAACAGGTCATTTCCGGTAAACAAGCATTTCATTTTTCAGAGGCGACACTGCACTGCACAAAGCAGCATCCCAGGAGCACCGTGAGGTATGCAGACGTCTGCTGGAGGCTGGGGCTTCCCTTAGCAAAACAAACTTCCTGGTGAGAATCTCTTTTCCTCTTCGTTTCTCTAGATTGTGCAAGAAATAGTAGCACTAGTGTACAAACACAACTGTGCGCGCTCACGACTTGGTAGTGACATTTTTGCCATTGTCCTTTTAGGGAAAAACTCCCAAGGATTGTGCCCTGGATACCGGGAACTTGGAGTTGGCGTCCCTCCTGGAGAGCCAGCCGGTAGATGAGCCCGCGGCACACGAGGATCTGGAGACGGCTGTATGAACGGGCTCACACGCTTAGTGTTAGGAAGAATTGTACCCACATAAAGTGGCTGTCGGCACTCCTCCACGCGCCTGCTCACACTCGAACGAGAGAGCTTGAGGGGGGGAAGAGAAAGAGGTGTATCGAGAGCGCCTCGGGCTGAGAAAATCCTCTGCGAACAGGAAAATGTCTAGCTGTTGTTTTTCCACTGATGTCGCTGTGGGGTTTTTTTAATTTTAGGCTGTGACCTAGCATTTATTTATTGCTCTTATTTATTATATCTATTTATTCAACGATGGATTGGGTTTTGCTGCGTCAACAGACACAAAAGACGTTTAAACATGTTGTGTGCCAAAGACACACAGACAGGAAAAACATCATCTGCTCCTGAAGAGGGTCGTCATTGGTTCAGAGTCAAAATAGCTCCAGAGATGTTAAACTGGACATCTACATAACTACAGACTTCACACAATCTGTTTCCTTCTCAGTTGTTTGTGTGCCGTTACAGTGGCGTGATTGTGAAATTATCTTATGACGACGAGAAAACATCTGAGCCATTTTCAATGCAATATGAATGGATGACATTTGTGCATTTCTCTATTTATTATTACATTACATTAATGTTTCAAGACAAGCAAAGGAACCGGATGCATTTTTTCCATTGATGGCAGCTGATTTTTGGCTCCATTATAAGGTTGTGTTTTACAACACTGGCCTGCGAGAAGAATGACTAAACCAAATGAACGCGAGAAGGACACTGACGAGAGTTGCGTGGTATTTTGAACACTTCTGTAACATTACCTAGTCCCATGTCAAATCACTCATGACGGGAAATGCATGAAAACGGCAGCCTGTAGGATCACGCTGAGCCTCTGAGATCCATTTACATACGAGTGATCTGCTGTACGTGTCATCTTGTATTATCAGTTGAGATTTTAACACATTATTGTGCATGGAGTTTTGTTACCTCTCTGGATGTTTCTACCCCTCAGTGATTATGTAATGAAATGGCATTATTTCTTTTCAATTTTTTTATTTATATAAAAATTGTTCAGTGGTTGTATTTTGCTTTTTTAACCTTTTAAAAGATGGGACTACTTGAATGTTTTAGTTTCTTCTAATTTCTGAATATATATTTTAGGTGTGTATGAGGTCACGGGTTGAGTAGAAGTGATGGATGGAGATGTGACTTGACATGTTGCACAATCTCAAAATTAGGAATGTTCACTCATTAAAAGGCAGTCGGATGGAAAGCACCAGTGTTTTGTGTTTTTCATGGAAATTCCTAGATGTACCTGATGTTAAAGAAACTACTGTGACAAAAATAAATAACATTGTCTGCACTCTTGACTCAACTGATCCCAAGTATGAACCATTCATTCTCATTTGCCCATTTAAGGTCTATTTTTAATGGATAGATCACCCCAAAATTAAAGTTTGACAACACACAAAAAAGTGCTTAGCATCACCATGTTCATGCTGTCCCTTCCATGCCAATGAATTAACTGAGAAAGTTAATATAAAGCATGAAAAACGAATAAAAAGCTTGGCATTTTACAGTATAAGCTGTATGATTAATAATTAGAGGTAAATCAATGAATCGTGTGGTTTGAATGAAATTGTTTTTGTTGATTCATTGCGTGTGTGACTCACCATGCGTCATCACGCAGTGTTTGGCTCCGCCCAAGCGCGTAAGTTATATTATGCTGAACTTTTTTCAATCCTCTCGAAACATCACAGACCGAAAGGAACGAGTCATGTAAGTGTTTTAACTTTCAATATATTTATTCACATAGAGAAATTTTTAATAGTGACTGTCTCAGAATTGTGTCCTGTTTTTCTTAAAGAGGATTAAGTAGCCTACATTTGCCGGTCACACTTCCGTGACTTCAGTCAGCTAAGATAGAAATATGTCGAGAGAGCTCAAAATATTTTGTCTTGCGTGTGATTTGGTTATAAACTTATGGACATGTCGGAAGTAAAAGGGAAACAAACAAACAAACAAACGTCTCGTAATGGAGAAGTTTGACGAACATGTCCAGACACATTCACTCTACAAAGCGACCGCGAGTTCACTAACGTTATAGGATAATGAACCAAATCTAACGTTAACAAACTTACCTTAATGTGTCATTTTCATGAATAAAAATTACAGCGGCAATCATTTCATTGTAAAATGAAATGTAAGTTAAAGAAATATTCATGGCAAATGCGTTTAAGCTCTAGACTTCCATGGCAAGTACATTAATGCATGTTTTAGTTTATTTTTCCAAACAGTTTTTAAAGTCTATTTAGAATAGTTCTTATTTTTACTTTAAAAGCTTTTGTCACGGTTGAATTTTAAAACTGTTAAAAGTTTCCTCATGGAAAGTTTTACAGACAAATAAATGAATAGGAATTTGAAAAATGTATAAAATGATGTATATCCACATAAGCTGATGACTCCATTCATACCAGAAGCCTATAGAAATCAGTATTATAGTACTTAATGTGGTGTGTTACACAATTATTAATACTGTTCAGTTAATGAAAGTTATACTGAGTGCACCTCTATAAAGGTGAGGTTTGAACCAAGTGTTTTGATGAAGTTTTTGATAACTGACCAGGGCCCAGGAGCAAAGCAATGGAGATGTCCAGATTCCTGCGGTGGACAGTCTGGAGTTCAGACTCCTTATGTCGTACGCCCGCAAGAGACGACCCATGGACACCAGTCTGCAGCAGGACATCTTAGAGAAAGAGCCATCTGAAAAAAGAAGTAGCAAAACGCACAAAAAGAAGAAATTGAGATTATCTTTCATCACAAAATGTATTAAACCCAAGACAGATGATACACCTGAACCACAGCAAGCAGCGCTAGGTGAGAGGGAAATATATTATTGACCTTCCAATGTGTGTCAAACATTCCCTAAAAGTGAGATTTTGGAGATTCGAGTCGAGTGTATGATGTGTTATCATCTCTTCTTGCAGATTCAGATGAGGGGAAAGTGGATGAGATGGAAAACCTGGTCTGTGAATTGACAGAGATATCAGATTCTGTGCACTTCACTTCAAGTGATATAGAACCAGATGGTGATGATGGTGAGTTCAAGCTCATTCTTCTCTTGATTTCTGTATCCGATCTAAGTATTAGCGGTCACCGAGTTCTCATTCCTGAATCTATTGTCTCTGCAGATGTTGTGCAAAGGCTGGCAGAGATTCTCAGAGTACATGGCGATGAGCTGAATGAAAAGGTCAGTGGAATGATGTCATTTAATGAGATGTTACACCTGACCACCAGGTGTCTCTGCAAACACAGTTACCTGGACTTTAATGCTGTTGAATTATGCCTATTTTATAGTACATCATGTTTTTCTATACATTTATTTACATAATAAACCGTCAGTTGATTTCAAAAGTCTTCAGCCAACGTTAATAATATTATGATTCATCTCAATGTTTCAAGTTAATTTTTTACTGCGCTGTTTTGATGTACTTTGTAATGGGGAAAATTGAAGGGAACTGCACAATAGAGGTGTTTTACTATCTGTGAAAGACTTTGACTTTGTAATATCCATAATAGACTTTACATTTGAACAATCATTATATATATATATATATATAAAAGTCATTTTTAGTATCTGTTAGCTGCAAAGCTTAATTATTAAAAATCATTTTGATACTACAAAAAAAAAACTACATGTTAAATGTCAAATCACTATTTTGCCTCAATTTCAATGGCAGGCCTATCTGGCAAACCAAATGTTATTTTTCTTGATTAGGTTAACCTCATTTTAATATTTATTTACATTTATTATTTATTAACAGCTTCAGTTGCTCTGTCCAAATATTGTCAATGTTTGTTTTTCTGAGGTTGCGAATTAGCCTGAGTTGTGTTATTTAATTGTTTTTGTTAATAAATTAGACCGCTGCACATAGATCCTGCTTATCATTCCTACTGCAACCACACTGTGAAAAAAATCTATAGATGGATCTAAATAACGTACTAAATGTAAAAATCTCTTCTGTTTTATCTCTGAACCTCTGCTGCAGATTAAGAAAGACAAGGCCTTATATGAAACGCTGCAGTCCTCGACTTTCAAGTATAGCTTCTTCAAGAAAGTGATGGATGCTGTCTGTGGAAGTGTCACCTTAGAACCGCCAACAGAAGGCCAGAAAGTTGACGTGGCTCTGATTTGTGAAGCCACCAGTCAGCTCTATGGCGTCAACTACCATCCAATGAACCGTGTGCTGGGCTTCGGTGCCAAGTATCTGCGGGAAAATTACTCCAAGTGGATTAGCAGAAACATGCATGCAGGCAATGTAAGTATCTCAACGACATCTGACCTTATAACACATACAAAAACAGGATGAATCTTTAGTCACAGTGCCATTTTCCCTCTCACAGGGAGAAGTTGAAGATGAATCCAAAGAGGAAGTCCAGTGAGCTTACGAGATGATTACAGACGTCTTTCTCAGGGGCACAGTCACTTTATTCACAAGAAAAAAAGAGATTTTCTTTTGTTTCAGCAGGGATCTAGTACTTTTTCTTCACTAGGTCCTGGAACACCTGAGGCTAAAAAAGAGGAACTCGCTTATTGAGCCAAATATAAATGCATCTACACCAAACGTCATTAAGAGTGCTATGGATACTGTCTCAAAGCATTACATGTTTATGCTTTGAAAATAATGATGATACATCATTCCTGACTGTATGTACGTTATCATGTTTAGCTGAACTAGTAAACTTTTTTTTATTTTTTTATTATTTAATGAGACATCCAAATTGTTAATATTAATTGTAATTTTTCTTTTTGTCTTGAAATGAACATATTTCAGGTACTTTAGTGTCTAGAATGAAACTCATTATAGGATAGGAAAAAGTTTTTGTCTAAATAATATATTTTGTTCAATGTTATGAAATAAACAACCTTGACAATATATGTAATTTTGTCTGTTTTCTTTACTACACTATATGACATTGTAAAAATATGTGGAACAACTTTTATATACAAAAGGCTTAACTTTCAAGGAGTTTTTGAGATGATATCTCCATATCTATGCTGTCTGCACACTTTTAGAGTATTTTATCAGTGAAAGGCCATTGATTAACCCTTTGGGTTTGAATTAATTGGGTATTTTAATTAAATATAGGCTAGTCTGTATTAAAGTGTTAGTAATTAAGTTTTTTATCATTTTTATTTACATTACATTTATTCTGAAAGTCTATTTCATGTGTAGTGCATCGAGTCAAACTAAAAGCAAAGTCGGTTTAAATTTTATTTGAGCTAAAGTTTACTTATGTATAGTTTATTTTATCATGACGAATTGTATGATTTTAGTTAATCTTGCTTCTAGTAAACTGATTTGATCTATTAACGGTGGGTGTGTGCGCGAGTGCGCGCAACTCAGGTGAAACATGAGACGCGCGTGCACCTGTCTTACCTGCTTGAGCACCAATCCTCCGTCTTAGAGAACCTGGCGAAATTCTCTCGAAGTCTGAGAAATGTCTCATCGCAAATCTCCAAGAATAGATCTACAGGTGTTTCTGCGTTTCCAATGGCATGATGCATCACAGTAGGAAGTACTCGCCACCGCGCCACTGCGTCCTCGGGACGCCTCTAGTTGTGCCTCTTCTGAACCGATTACCGACCTTTCGGGTGGAAGAAGCTAACCCGATGGAGAAGAATTCACCGAAAGCCAAATCCAGAATGCGCAACGCGAAGGTGAAGGCGGTGAAGAGAGCCCCGTCTCCCCAAAGACCACGCGTCTCTCCAAAACCCGTTCAAAGCGACGCGCTACCAAAGGTGGCGGAGAACGGTGGAGCCGGACAGCGCTCTCGAAAGAGGGGCTTCAAACCCCCTGATGTGAGGACGATATTCGACCCACGCGTAAAAGTGGAGAGAGGAGAAGGACACTCGTTTTATGAGGACGCGACGCACGCTTGGTGCGATGTGTGTTGCTCGTATATCTTTCAAGATGGCTTGACCTGCACAGGTGAGAACTTTATATATTAGACTTCTACAGATTTGACCATTATATGTATAGGCTACAGAGACTAATCAATATCAAACAATGTTTTTGTTGTTGTTTAACTTGTTGTTGTATTAGTTTAGACAAGGTCAATTCATCACTATTGTGCTCTTGATCCAAGGGGAATGACTGTGTCTGTTACTTTTGGATAAAAGTGGCAGTTAAATGGAATTATATTATAGGCCTAATATTTCATAAACCATAAACTCATAACTGCATGTTCTTGATCTTCCTCACACACCACACACTCATCTACAGGCATGTGGACGGACTGGTTTGGGTTTATAAATTCACTGAGTTGCACCTTGAGCACCCACATTTACGGTACATGTCATTGTCACAAATATGTTTAATCATACTTGGCAATGCGGAAGTCAGGCCTGTACATACTCATAATTTATATAATTAAATCTAATGCTCAAGTTATAGGCACATGAACATTTGCACCTGAAATGCGATTGACATTTTCATCCCTGAATGAAAGCCTTGTTTTCAGTAGAGAAAATATTCCTAAAAATCATATGCAAAGCAGCTTCCCACAACCAAATTTGAATTGCCATCTCATAAGAAAATATGACCGTTGAGATGGCTAGAAGTGAATTGCAAGTGTATTTTTGATTAAAATGACCCAAATGTCCCTCAATTCATTCTCCTAATATGGCTCTCTGTCCATGTCACTTGTCTGAGCTGCAATTGTGCAGAGGTTGTCCATTCACAAGTGTTAACTCAAATGGAACAACTGGACAAAGGTTTCACTGAGTCTTCTTGCTTGAGTTAAATGATCAGGTAATTGAGAGAGAGAGAGAGCCACTGACTCGGCTGAATAGTTGGAAAGCCTGTTTTTAGAGCTGACCTTTAATTCACTCTAAAATAAATCTACAAAATAAGTATAATATGAATAAATAAATATATGTACTGTATATATGATTATGTGCACGAAACATGATCCATGACAGATTCCTTCATTTGTAACTTGTGTTTTTGTCACTTTTAATATCAAGAATGAATTGTAATGGAGTTTTCTAATGGTCAAAATAATTTAATGAATCTTTAATGCAGTGAAAGTAAAACTTTATTCGGCTGTTTCTATTGTAGCATCTGTACTCTGTGGGATGTCATTCACTTCACTGCAAATAATAGTCTGTATGTAGTACAGTATACCTAAGTTAAAGATCAACAAAGATGCCTTTTTTTCCACCTTTGTGGGTCTCACAACCTTTTTGGCCTTTCTAGCCGGACTGCATTGTGTCCTGCTATTTGACACCCACCTGTTCGCTCCCCTAATGTCCATCTGTCTGTTTGTGTAGCGGCAGTGACAGTGTGTCTAGAGAAGGCACACCGTCCTGTCACAGCAGAACCATTGCTCACAATGGGCTTCCCCTCAACCAGCCGACAGTGACAGGGGAACCTCGGGGGTCATTGGGACAACTGCACACACACACTGGAGCAGGGGCTTCATGGTTAGGGGTTAGACGCAGTGATGCATGTTCAGTGCTGAAGGGAACATCTTTCAGCCAGTAAATGCTCAGGGGTTGAAGTGAGACTCGATGTTGTTCTGGTCGGGCAGTGGACTGTAAGTCATGGGTCTGAGGAAAGGGTTCGGAAGAACTTTAAGAAGACTTACCGGAATCCTCTATCGCCTTCCGAAAGTGATGCGCCGCTCCGGGCGACTGGAAGTTAGTCTGCTGTGGAAGTCATCCGGTGGGTCCAGATCTCTTTGGCTTTTTTGTAGTTTTATCCTCAGGCAAATGGAAGTTAGATGACAATTTCACTATGAGCAGCGCAAAGTCCCTGATTTATGGAACAATGAGGACAGATATTAGTGCAATTTCTAGTACAAACCATGACGTTTTTGTCTTAAAAAAATGTAATTATGTAATAAAAAGCAGCTTTTTTTATTACTAATTTGTGTGTTTAGTCAACTTAACTCTTTTGCATGTGCGTGCATTTGCAAAACTCACCGTCATCATGATGCTAGGTTACTGTGCATGGTTTAATTCATTGATATGAGTTGGATTACTGGAAAGCAGTGTTGTAGTCGAGACCACCTCACTCGAGTCCGAGTCGAGACCGAGACCAGAGAGAGTCGAGTCCGAGTCAAGGCCGAGTCCATAGAGAGTCGAGTCCGAGTCGAGTCCGAGACCAGAGACGGTCGAGTCCGAGTCGAGACCGAGACCAGTGAGGGTTGATTACCTAATTTACTTTTATTTACTTAGAGAAATCCTTTTTTTATTTTACTGAATTTACTTAGAGTTTAAAAAATATGATCAGTTTAGGGTAAAAAGGCCACATAGTAGGTGGTGTTAAAAGTAATTTTATTACAATTTGTCATGCGCAGTTGTGCACTAGAAAATCACCAATCACTGGAAGTGTCAATCAATTTAAAGAAATATTTTATTAACATACATTAATAATCATGAAAAATATTTTGAATTGAACTCGAGTGGACTCGGGAATAAGTCCGAGTCCTAAAAAAAAAAAATGTTCGAGTACGAGTCAATTCCGAGTCCAAATGGACACGAGTCCATGACAAGACCAAGACCATTAAAATATGGTCTCGAGACCGAGTCCGAGACGAGTCCGAGTCTCGAGTACTACAACACTGCTGGAAAGTGAAAAGAAACATTCTCCAATGGAAATTATTTTAGGCCTAAACTTAAATTAAGCTGGACTTAATTCAACTGAATCTAAACTGTGATGTTCAGCAGTGCCACTGCTGTGTTCATCTTCTTCAGCACTGACATGTGTTGCTCGCAATTTTCAGTAAACACTCACCAACTATCGTACTAGACAGTGATTGTTGTGGACTATTGTTGTTGTATTTTGTGTGTGGTATCATTGTGTATACGTTGCGTTTCTATGGGCCGTGGTGTCTCACAGTGACCTCACAGTTTTCCCCACCGGGCAAACACAGACCAGCGCACTAAAAACATCCAATCGCTGTCCCTCTGTGAAGGACAGAGCCGAGTCTAAACAGTTGAAGAGCTTCACGATAACACGGCAAATAGTTTAAGTTTAACATCCATCGTATGAATGGCTTAAGTAATGAAAACCGATTGCAAAAGAATGGAGTGTTTTCTTGACTTTTTGTCACGGGCAGGTGTTGTCGTGACTCGTGACCTCGGGACGGTGGTGTGTGTTGTTTCAGGGGTCTGATCTAATCCCAGCGTGGAGCCGAGCTGGAATGGAGACGAACAGAAAGCAACATGAGAATCTCTATTCTTATCTTGTTTCTAAAACACCACAGACACAGACTGAAACAATAGTTATCTACGTGATCGACTGCGCAAGGACAGGCTCGGCTACTTGTTCACAGACTTTATTGTTTTGGGAGTCTGATATGAGAGCGACATTTTGACAAGGAAATGGCATCATTTAAAATAAGCAACATCATATTGCTCATATACAAAAAAGTAAGTTCATTTTATTAAGTATACTGAAGTACACTGTAAAAGTGTACTCTTCCAATAATGGGCCTAAACCCACTTTTTAATGTATAAAGTACACTTTTAAGGGTGACAGTAGTAGTACACAACTACGTTTTTAGTTTATTGCAAGTGAACTACACTTTAAGTAGATTTGAAGTAAAATTTTAAGTTCTGCACAGTGGACTGCACAAAAATTCACATAGAATTAAACAAATCTGTTCTCTTTAGAAATCAATATTTTCAAACAATGTAAGTTTATGTGACAGTATGTTAAACAGTATTTAATAGGCTCAATCAAAAGAGGGATGAGCAACAAATAATCACGATTAATCGCATCCAAAATAAAAGTTTGTGTTTACGTAATATATGTGTGTGAGGTGTGTATAATTATTTTGTATGTATAATATATTTAAGAAATATTTGCATGTATGTACTTTATATATATATTTATACATAATTAATATATATAAATATAAATATTTGATATATTAAGAACACATTTTTCTTAAATATATACATGCATGTGTTAGTATTTATATATACACAAAATAATTATACACACCACACACACATATATCATGTAAACACAAACTTTTATTTTGGATGCGATTAATCGTTGCCCATCCGGTATGTTTCAATCAAAATATTAAATGTACAATAGGCCAAATATACTTTTCTGTCAGTAGTCCAGTATACTGAAGTTTAATTTTAAAGATGTTTCTGAGAAGTAAACAAAGTAGATTCAAAGTATACTTTCTTATTTTTTTTTTAAAAAAGTGGTATACTTCTTTTTTTTGTAAGGGTAACAAAGAAAAATGTAATTTTGTCAGTTTGAGGGACATATTTTATCCAACACAAAAAGGTTTTTATAAATGTTTTATGATTTTTAACATGCTGCTTCACACTGTGTTTTTCTGGCACTCTTTTTTTGTGAGGATGGAATAAGCATTATATGGAAAAGTGAAGTAAAAACACATCCACCTGTCCAGAATAAACAGCTGTTAAATGAGGGAGTAAAAAACACCTGGTTCATGCTCACAAACGGCCTGTAGTGACACCAGAAGCTGCGTTTTCCTTTAATTACAGATCCTTACAGTATGTGTTTATTGGTTGTCAGAGTCAGTCAGTTTCTGCATCCCAATTTGCAGAAGTTTACCATGTACTAAAAGTACACTTGTTCAAAAGTTTGGGGTACTGTTTGTACTGTAGTGTAAGTTTAGCCACTTAACTGTCACCGTCCCACAGGTGGGACGTTTGCCACTATATTTTTAAAACAATAATATCTTAGTAAATACCTTAAATAATATTGACAAACTATATATCATTTGAAAGCTTACAATCTCTAGTTTCCATATTTGGTGACTGATTTTCAAAATATATTACAGAGGAGCCATAATTTATCAATATAAAACAAGAATATTTTCATACTCATAAGGCGTGTTCAGACCTTTATTTTAAAATAGCAGTAAACATGAAAAATCATGAAAAAATGGTAGATACCTCAGTTTGTTTTCATGCCAAAAGTTCAAAAGATAGAATCCATTCAATTATTTTGGAAAAAAAAGGTCTGAAAAGTTTGAAATATCAAGAAAAAAATAATAAATTCACCATTTGTGACGTGGCAGCTAGCTATGACTTACATGCGTGTTCTTTGTATGTGTTTCTTAGAGGTTCAATTCATATCAAAATCTGCCAAACTTCCCATGCTACTTCTGAATAGGATTTCTACTTCAGAAATTGTATGAAAATTGTGAAAATAATGGTTCATATCACTCAAAACACGAATGGAAATGCAGGCGCCCTTATATGGGCAGTAATGGAGTCTGATTGTGCCCTAGTGAACAAGTTTGGTACTGCGCTCAAACAAAATCTCACTGAAAGCTCATTTTTTGAGATATCAACCTAAAATTTGAAACACAACTTGTTCAGATTTTTGGCTTTGATCTTTCTGCCATTTTAGAGTAGCCCAGGTTTTGAAAATATATATTTTATGTAAAATATGAATAATTAATATTTTTACATTGTACATTTCCATAAACTCAAACTTCTATAACTTTTTTTCTGTTTCACTTTCTTAATTTATTTCACTTCTACAAAAATCTGTCAAATGTCTTCTTTAAAACAAGACCAATCATATGTCTATATTCCAAAGCATTCTTGAATTACAACCATTTAAGTTCGAAATGTGCATTTTCATGTCTATTCAAAAAAGGGGGGGTGACAGTTAACAGGTTAGAAATGTACCGTTCTAAACTTTTGACCTTTCTGTTTATCAAAGAATCCTGACTTTTTTATTTACAGTGGTGTGAATAAGTGTTTGCCCCCATGCTAAAGTTGCCTAAAAAGAGGAATAAAAAATCATCTTTTGGATATTGATCTTAATGCCTTAATTAGAAAAATGAGGAAAACTCCAACCTTTAAGGACACAAATTTTCTTTGTGAATGAATAATGTATCATAAATAAATAAATGTTTTCCTTAAAATACAGGGTGCATAAGTCATTGCCCCCCTATGTTAAATTCCTATTGAGTCAGGCAGATTTTTATTTTTAAAAGCCAGTTATTTCATGGATCCAGGATAATATGCATCCTGATAAAGTTCCCTTGGCATTTGGAATTAAAATAGACCCACATCATCACACACCTTCCACCACACCTAGAGATTGGCATGGTTTTACTTCAGTTAGCTTAATAGCTGGTTAGATTTGCATTGAAAGATGATCTTATGGAAAGTACCCCATGCCAATCTCTAGGTTACTTACTGACCTCAAACTTTTGAAAAGGCGTGTGTACTTTGATGGGGATTTTTGAGTAATCTGGTAGTATTGGCAAATATACCACATCATAAATTGTGTCATAATTCCACAATAGCTTTAACAGTAAGCATTAGCATCTAAATGTCAGGTTCCTGCTTTTAAAAACTGCTTTTAAAGCTTTGAAAAAATTAAAAATTAACCATTTCAAATGTTTCCTTTTCATGCAAGTTCAAAAACCATCCATTGTTTGGTCAACTTTTGTTGTTCAATGTATCATATTTATTTATTATCTGGTTTATGACTTAGAATTGACCATATGTTCATTGTGATAATGCATATATTTTCTTTTAGAGTGTTAATGAAATCAAATGAACTGTAATAGTATTTCGTTATGAGGGTGGTAAATATTTAGAGAGTGAGACTGCTGTGGGAATGACGGTTTTGTCGGAGTGTGTCTGTGTTATATGAGCTGTCAGTGTCTGCTGTCGGTAATGTGTTTGTGTAGGAAACATTTAAGAACTTGAATGACTTGTTCTCTGTCAACATGCAAAGTTTTAGAGACAGAGTCCCAAATATTGCACCGTCGTCACGCCACAGTCTGGATAGAGGACAGTATTCTGTGTGTGTGTTTTGCTCCTCGAGAAGGTCTTGATCGATTGCGCCGTCCCTCATTACGGGAAGTGCAATTAAGGAAGAGGCAGGTCTGCACTTCCCACCCGCCCCAGAGACCAACCGATTGTGTGTGTCTGCATACATTAGCTCAGTTATACACAGACAAGACCGCAGCTCTGTGCAAAGAATGGCACTTTAAGCAACCATTACCCATCATGCCCCGGTATCAAAGATCCACTTTCATCACACTCCTGTCATTGCTCATCCTCAGTGTCATTCTGCTCTCTGCTGATCTTTAAAAAGAGCAGTGTTCAATCAGAGATGATGAGATGAACATCTCAGTGATGTTATATTTAAACATAAACTTTGTCCTATATGCCTAAAATTCTTAAGAAGAAACAAAAAGACATATATGATGAGCGTTTGACGTATGACATGAATGTGGACAGCATAGCTCACATACTTTGGTCTTTGAAGAGACATTGTGAAATGTTTAAGATGTTGGCTTCTGATTACAAACTTTGGGTGAGATGTCGGGGATCCCTTCTGAATCCCTTCTTAATCCTGTTGCTGTTTAATATTTAAGATATTAACACGATCTTATTTGGGACTTTCCTTTACTTAAAAAGATTAAATTTGAGTATTTAAAACCCAGAGGAGCAGAAAGTGGATATTGGCTAGAATGTGCAGGACTTAGATGGCTGTCAGTATGAGAACAGTAAAAGTAATGATCGGTTTAATTGTTTAATAATTCTGAATATTAAGGGTGATGAATCTGTTGTGTTTACAGCGCTGTTAAAAATTCATTTACAAAGTGCTTCCCTCATCACCTTTACTGTAAGTGTCCATCATTTTCTGGGCAAAATGTTCTTCATTTGACAGTCAAATCAATCGACTCAGCACACTGAGAGAGAGAGAGAGAGAGAGAGAGTTACCTAGGAGATTGCATGGGCGAGAGACAAATAAGTTTGTCTTTCTGTTCTGAGAGTGGACTGCACAGGATGAGCATTTGTGTTTCTGATGGCATGCTGTGAGTTAAGCTTTCGAAAGCGTCATCACTCGTATGCTTGAGTGGGATGGGAGCAGCATTCTGCAAAATTTACGGCAAAATTACTCAGCAAGTCAAGCCTCAATCTTCAGGTAGGTCAGCAACAGGAACTGAGATTATGATTTTGAAAGGCATTGAAAAATCCTTTATGATATTAACGTTTGCATGAATAAGCAAGTGTATGTGGTTATTATGCGTCATGTTTTCTGAGAGCAGTGGCTTTAAGTGAGGATTGGAAAGCAGAGGATGCTCTTTAATTATACATCCCATGCCGATGGGTTTAGTTTCATTTCAGCATCAGAAAACATTCTTATATAAAATAAACAATGCAAAATATTCTTTTGCATGTGTAAGTATGCATACCTTTAAGTCCAGAAGTTTTCACTGGCAATAAATCTGATATAAACATGTAAAACACATTACTGCAAAGATTGACCTTATTTTAACAATGGATTGTTGAATTATTTTAAATTGTCTTATGTGTTGGTAATTTCTTAAACATGTGATTATACTTTTCTACATTAAAAATTTGCATGTGCTGCACTTTTTTGCAAACCAAAATCCATTTAGCCCACCAGAAAACCCATCGTATTTCACTAAATCTCCTTTTAAAACAAATGATGCAGGCTTTTGTTACCCATAACACCTTGCAAAACTACACCTTCAGTGGTAAAACCACTCAAAACACTTTGCTCTATACCAAATATGAACTTTTTGACTTTTTACAAATGTACTACATTGTTATTAGATTGTGGCAGTTCAGTTTTAGGTATACAAGTTTTAAAAGGGTATTATTTGAAGCATACTGTGTGAGTAACTGCTGTCTGTTCTTGTTTCCTCTCCTCCAGGTTGCAAATACACATGTCATGCTAAGTGCCGTGACCAGGTGGCGCTAGACTGCCATCAGAACGGATCCGTCAACGGCTGCCCACTCAGCGCTCTTGCTCAGGACCATCTGAACAACAACCAGTCCTCACACAGTGTGAGTACAGAGATTATTTTCACGTTTACATGCACATTCAGTTCAATCTAAACTGAAACACAGAAGTGAAACTCTTAGAGAATCACAGACATCCGCTAGTGATGGTTAGGTGTGACCACAAGGGGGAGAAATATCCCAGATAGCCTACATGACCTAAACTAGTGTCTCAGTATTTCTGTAAATGTACACTGAGCAAAGTTCATTTTCATTCATATTCATTTTCATATTCATTCTTGGTCACCTTGGTCTTGTGTGTTATTTCAAATCTTCATTGGCAGAGAACAGATTAAAGAAGAAGCATATAGTTTTTTAGTATGGACATTTGCTGAGATCATTGAAATAATTTCTACTTTAAAATTGATTCATTGAGTGGTTTTGATCATAGTTTTGTCATACTAATTATTGCTTTTCTTTAGTCTTCCCTTAGACCTGTTTAATGGAATGGTATGAGTTAGCTAAAGGATGATACACTGTTATTTAATTTAGCTCAATGTGAGCACACACACACATTGATTCCCATTGCACTTGGCATGGAACTAACAATAGCAGGATATTACTCTTGGGCAGAATTCCTCTGGTCCCCATAGTGTCCAGTTTTGTTCTCATGTGCCTGCGCTAGTTTAAAACTATCACTCCCAGCGCTCTGTAAACTGTGCAGTATGAATGAAAGACGAGCACTGTGTGTGTGACCTGGCGGGGTCAACACACAAGCTAGTGTGGTATGTGTGCTATACACACTAATCCAGGTCAGTTTAAGCATAATTCATGCAATTTTATAGTATTAAAACAGTTGCATTCCTTGTATTCAGCTGGTTGAGGTTGATATGGGATTTAAAGTAATTAGTAAAAAGTAATTAAATACTTTTTAGAGAGAGTAATTAGTACAGTAATCAAATTACATTGTCGAATAGGTAATTAGTAACTAGTAATTAATTACTTTTTTAGAGTAATTTACCCAAACCAATTGGCTGTTATGTCTGTCGTTTTTTGTGAAATATTCCACATATTAAATGTACGTGAATGCACAATGGTGCCATTAATCACATTATGCTGTTAGTTTATTTGTATTATGGATGTTTAGTAGGTAGTGCACTGTTAGAAGGTGCCGTATCGTGTGTGTGAGGTCTGAAGTTGGTTCGTTGGTAATTTGGGATTAAACATGGGTGTGTACATTCTCATAGGAGAGTGAGGAACCAGCTGTCTGTGTCAGTCCAAACATGAACGAGTCTAACATTCATTTTAGTGTGCGTGTGTTTGACTCTTCATATAGACCCAACATTCCAGACCAGAAGCCCCCTCCCCCTGAAGACAGTCGGTTGAGTCAGCCACGTTACACAGGGCTAGACAAGGTCACACACACACACACTGACGGTTGAGAGAGGGATTTAGGGAGGACAGGGTGTCTCTGTAACACCCACTCAATAATGCAAAAACAGACAACTGATAAAATACCAGAGAAAAATTACATCAAAACATAACATCAAGTTTGTTGAGCAAATGCAATTCCCGAAAATTCGATTTTTAGAGTATGCACTATTTATATATATAACTTTAATACTACATTTCTTTTGAATTAGCTTTTATTTTTATATTTTATTTATTTTTTTGTAATATTGTTATGTGCTTTTGTCATTTTATTAGTTTTATAAATATTTGTATTTACATTAGGGCTGTCAAACGATTAATCGTGATTAATCGCATCCAAAATAAAAGTTTGTGTTTACATAATATATGTGGGTGCACTGTGTATAATTATTTTGTGTATATATATATATATATATATATATAAATACACACATGCTTGTATATATTTAAGAAATATTGTCATGTATATACAGATTTATATATAATTTATATTATATATATAAATATAAATATTTTATATATAAATAATATTTTTTCTTAAATATACATGCATGTGTGTGTATTTATATATATATACAAAATAATTATACACAGTGCACCCACATATATTATGTAAACACAAACTTTTATTTTGGATGCGATTAATCGCGATTTTTCACGTTTTTCCACCAATATTTATATTAATTACACAAAACAAATATTTACAATATATGTACAGGTACATTCATATATGGTTAACAGTTAAATATCTAAACCAAGTAATATAGTTTGCTATTTTACATTCTTGGCTCATCTAATCCAATTTTAATGTAAAAACAGTCAATTTTATAAATATAGCTTTAAAAATCCATGAATATGTCTGTTTAGAAAGTAAGGGTGATTCATATCTGAGATTTTACATGGATTAATCATTACTGTAAAGCTGCTGGTGTAAGAAAGGTTTACCTTGGAGAACACTGCCGTATTATTGCTGTACTATTGGATCAGCAAGATTGTGTGGAGCCTGAGAAAGAAACAGAGGTGTAAATATGATCCAAATGAAAAGGAACAAACAGAAAGATGTAGGAAAGAGAGAGTTTCCTGTCAGGAAACAGTCGCAGGATGCCTGCAGCATAACCGAGCACACACACACACAATAACATCTTGCACACATCACATTAGAGACATACCAAAGATCACTGTACCAAAGATCACAGCCAACAGGAGAACCCATCAAAAACATTAAAATCTATCTAATTTTTTATTGTAACACAATGTTTTGCAAAACTTGCTTTTGGGAGTGTGCTCCCAAAAAAATTTGAAATTCAGCACAAGTATCATTCATGTTTTTTTCTGTGAGGCAGCAGTTTTTTGGCAGGCGTGAGCTGAATGCTGGGAACTCTTTGGGTGGTGAAGCTGGTCCAAAATGCAAGAGGCAAAGCTTTAACTCCACCGCACTAACCACACACCCTTGTGACTCCAAGAAATGGGGATAAATGTCACACAATCTGGTCTCTATTGGTCAAGTTTGCTGTGTTTAGAATTGAATTTTGTTCATGTAAGCCAATTACTGTCAGTAGAGAAGGACAGATATTTTAGTCAAAGTTCACATCTGCAGTACAGCATCAGGTCCGCACAGTCATGTGATAAGATTATAAGTCAATTGACTGATTCACTTAGACTGATTTGATTTGCCTCTGCGTCTCATGGGTCAAGAGTTTATGTCAGGATACTATTTCTGCCTGCAACTGATGTCGGATGTCACAGATAACATGATGTTTGACTAGATTATTCATGCCATTCTATTGGGACACATGTTATTATGTGAAAATATGTAATGAAGCATCAGTGCTGAACATGCTAAATCTACCCTCAGTGGGTTGGACCCAAAGTCCAGCTGATCTTTGAGTGCTGAAATGAAGTAAGGCCTAATTACATCTGATTTATGTATCAAACCTATAGCATTGCATTCTTTTAGACTAACATTTGGTTAGAAAGATTGTTGATTCAGTAATGCAGCTTGGGGAAAATATGGATTGGAATGCTACAAGAATTCACATGATGGTGCTCCTAAAGAAATCTATAAATATCCCCCTTGACCTTACTGGTGGACCACAATCTGCGACCATATTTGACATTTGGTTCACTCGACTGTAAACAAGCCAAACCCTCTTATCCTCAGAGCAGAATAAGCAGGTAGGTCTTCCCTCAGGTCTGGGATTAGACGTTGTCTATTTTAAGAGCTAATCTCGCCTCTTTCTTTAGATCTTCCTTCTGTCAACTAGGTCAGTGGTAATTAGCACCTCACATAACGCTCACACACTGATCCAAAAAACCTTCTGGAACTTACTATTGTATATTTCTGCTGGTTTCTTAACACTGTAAAAGTTACCACAGTGCAACAATGGTGGATATATGAGTTCTCAGACTCCTGAGAGAGTGTTTTTTTTTTTTTTTTTTAATCAAGCTAGCCAAAAGAAAGCCTATATGTTTGTAAATGAAACCATGGAGCCCCTAAAACTGTGAAGACCCTTTGACAAAACACTAGAGTGTTTGCTGTGGCTACTACTATATTAAACAGTAATAAAGTATCTTTCCATGGAAAAGAGCACCCAGCTTCTCTGCATGTGAATGAGTGTTTGCTAATTGCTCCCAGCCGTCACCACATTTACAAGGACTGGATTAGCTGACAGGCTCAGCTGGATGTAGAAGTAAAAAGCTCAGCAAAGGGTCGGATTGCACAATGTATCCACAAACCTTTGGGACTGATAACAAACCTGTTCCGTAAAACTGTGTGACTCTAAAATGGAAAAAATAACCAAACTATATTTAATATAATTGATAGGATCATGCATATTGTACCCAGAGTGAGGGAATGGTCAAATTTGTTCTCACAATCCATCAGGCCTTATCTTCATCCTTCCACTCGCTTTTCATTCAATCATGGACCCATTGTGGTTTCAATGAATCAAGCTGTTGTTTACAGAGGTAAGGTACATCTCAACTCAATGTTTATGTTTAAATCAAACTATTGAAGCAAAGTAGATGCTTTCCTGGGATATAGCCGAATTTAAAAGACTGTAAGATAACATCTGTGTGCCTGTGTACTGTAGAAACCAGACTGACATACAAAGAGTCTTTAAAGACTTCGAGAGACCTTCTGAAATCCACCACAAGACAAGACGGAACCTGCACCGGGGTTAGACTTAACTGTGGGTGTCCTTTGTGTGCATTCTGGTCCCAAATTACCTTCTATTTAGTCTTCCTTTACTGTCTGGATTTGTGAGGTTTGGCTGGAGAAAAGACTGTGATTTCCATCTAGTGAACACTGATTGTTTGTGTAGAAATCTCGGCTTGGATCTCGCTAACGTTTAGACTGAGAAGCTGAGGTAACTGTCTGTTTCAGCTTCCCTCTGATTCTTGTCTTTTTGAGATCACTGTTCATATCTTGGGCATCCCAAAATAAAAATATCAATAGTGTCTTTATCATCATGCTGTGCCTTACAGTATTGGTTTCCTGAAATAAAAATAGATTTAAGTCACTGTGTGTAAAGGTTTGCTACTAATTGTTTTAAATTAATTTTCATAATTACAGTAATCTTGGTCAACAAAGAAATTCTCTAACATTGATTCAATGGTCTCTTGAAGTATGATTA